AGTTGCGCAACAGTCCTAATTTTTGCTCTCATTCCACATTGAATCATGCTGTAGAGCTGCTAGTGGAAAAGGGCATAGCATAAGGACATAGAGAAGCAAGGGTGAGATAGTTTGTAGGTGTATAGAGGAAGCACAGAGAGTGGAAGCATGTAGACAACTGAGCTGCCAGAGACAAAGAAAAGAGGAAGACCACAGTGGAAGTTCATGAATGTAGTGAAGAAGGATGTGAAGATAGTTGATGTGACAGAGGAGGATGAGAGAGATAGCTTGTGTTGGAACAGCTGAAAGATGAAGAACCAGTGGCAAAGATGATATTTTACATTTTAGGGAATAATGGACTCACTAAAGTTCCAAACAACAATCATATTTCTTTCATTTTGTTTAATTTAAGAACATAAAAGTTTGAGATGGGAAAAAAAGACTTGTGCTGTTTTTTATTATTATGTGATCAAACAGAATATGACTGATTGGTGTTAGAGGTTCACCACTACAAGGATTTCCTTTTTTCAGTGTTTTGCTTTAAAAGTTCAAATGCATCAGTCAGTTTTGTGGAGATTAAACAACTCTAGCTGCCTTCATGACTTATCCCACATGTTAATCAGTTCAGCTGTTTTCAGCTGTCTGATCTGCTGCATGCAGACTGTTCAGTGTCTCAGAGGAGTGTCACTGTGCTCAATTAGGATGACAGCGAGACATATAAAAAATGTTAGCCTCTGACAGAATAAGGCATTGCTGGCTTAAATTAAGCTATCAGTTATTTTGACTAGACAGGCTTCCTAGTGTCTGTAGCATCTGTCACAAAAACAGATCGTGGGTATGGCTGCAAAGACAAGTCCCTTTTAATCAGCCTCTGACTGCCCATAAATTACTAATCAAACTGGCAAATTCTTTCAAAAATAAGAAACCAGAGACATAAAAGCAGTGGGTTGACCTCAACCCTCTCGTACMACCCTGGTCCTTTCATAAACCATTCTGAGGTTCAGTCCTGGCAGTCCTTCTCCAGCATTTCTCGGACGTTTGCTCTCTTTCCTGGACAACAGAAGATGGGACGGGAGGATGGACGGGGCTAACCTCCGTTGCAGGGCTCATTTGTCTGTAATATATGAAAATAAATTAAAGAAATCCCCCTCGGATTTTGATTTCCCTTTCAGGGCAATTCTATCACTTAGAGCTAAGGCTGACAGAAATTTGAGCCTAATTACACGCCAGGTTTAATAGTTGGATTTTGGTTTTCTAGTATTAAATATATTCCCCTCTCACATGAAAATTTCAGGAAATGTTAATCGCACGACAAAGATAAGTTGATTAAAGTTTGAAACATGTCTAAGCAGACCTGGAAAACTCTGCTGTCTGTCTGTTAGCAACTGTTAGCAATGTCTGGATTGACCACCGGCTACAGTCTGGATCTCCATGTCGCAGATCGAGTGCTTTCCTGGTCAAAGGACGGCGAGTTGCTTAAGCTCCGCTTCCCGGGGGAGGAGCCAAACCCACTGCGCCTGAATGCATATTATCAGACATACAAATCATTGATAAGTGCCTTCCACCCTACTAGGAGGTAGAGGGACAGTCTGCAGACAGCATGGGGCTGATTGCTAATAACGGCCATTTAATGAACTAACTTCTGATTTGAAGCGGGTGCATCAGGAAATCGCTTCAGTCTACACTAACCAATAGAGACATGTCTTAGTTTGTCCTTACTAACAATAGAGACATGTCTTACAGTAGTTTGTCCTTGGGCCACGCCCTGGATGTTCATGTTCTCTGAGTTCAAAACTTTTTTCAGTTCAACCAAAAACTTAGAGCATCAACCAAAAGTTTGAGATTCAACCAAAGATTTCTGATGCGAAAAAAACGTTTCTGTTTTCTGTTTTGCAAAAAACGTTTTGATTGAAAAAATTTTGGGGGGTTGAAATTATTATTTTTTGATAGAAATTGTTTTTTTGTTTGATTGAATGTAAAAACACAAACTTACCTCCATACATTACAACCTTTGTTTATCATTTTTATATTCAGCAAAGTCATTTACACAGCAGTAGTTGCAGATGTGACTCCATGTCAGGTTGGATTCATTAACTTTATCTTTCAACTCAATTAATCATCAGAAGAAAAARCAAACTACTGAGTACAATAAATGTGTGCACAGATACTGTAGTGCTATCCGTTCATTTTTATCTGATAAAAGTACATTAATTCATTATTTGCAGCTAAATGKTTTTTCTGGTAAATTATTGCACCTGAATGTGTATTTGTTTGTGTATGTGTTATCCAGATTCCAGTCCTCATCAACCTGAGTCAGGATTCAGATGTGAACCTGCCAGTAAAACCTCTCATCTTTGCATTGGCCATGGGTGCCTGCCTTGGTGGTAAGTTTTCAGTCTCACAAGTCTCAAAGACATTAATATAAAATCAGAACTCAAACCTCCAGACTTTCTGCGAGACACCAGGGAGGTCACAGTCCATCCTCATCTGAAAGGTGTGGATCTTTATCGACAGCCTCTGGCAGAGAGACATCACATTCTCTGTATGACAGCAGCTGTGTTGCTCCTCTGGGAAGTCAGGCTGTGCCTTTCTTTTTTCTTGGAGAGCAGCTTCAAGGACCCCAAAGCATGTCTTATTCATTCTGTACCACACATCAGCAGCCAGCTCTTCTACTTATTGAAACTTTGCTTGTGTGGGAAGGACACAGATACAGAAAAGTGTTTCACTTTAATCATCTACAGTTTGGCAGACTTCTATTGATCAGTATGTTGCTGCTAAACTACGTCTCCACACTCACTATTCTTAGAATATGAGCAGGAACCCACTGGATTCATGCAATAAATAATCCACTTTAAACAAATCAACCATTAAATTTTTTTCTAAACTTGTCTAGCGACAACTGAGAATTAGACATAAATATTTTTTTTCTATTTGTATTTAAAGAGAATTTACTAAAACAAGGAAAGGAAGATTTGTGACACTTTTAAGTAAAGTTCTGTAAAAACGTGAACAATTAATATCTTACCTGCTGGATACACTTAGACCAGACCCAGCCGGTCGAGGCAGATGGCTGCCTGTCCTGAGTCTGGTTCTGCTGGAGGTTTCTTCCCGTTAAAAGGGAGTTTTTCYTCTCCACTGTCACCAATGTGCTGCTCAGGATGGAGACTGTGATGAAGTGATTGAACACAATCTGCTGGCTTCTTTAGATTTTTTTCTGAGACGACGCTTGTTGTGACTTGGTCCTATGGAAATAAATTGAATTGTACTGAATTGAATTGAATAGATCGCTCTATAATGAAAATGAGATAAACGGCTCTTCGCAAGGTCTTGAAAAATCATTTCTTTCATAGAACTGTTTAATTTTAAATGAGTGATGTCATCACATTATCATATACACCACCATGTATGCCATACATGACATGTGAAACCTTGTGTTTTATCAAGGGGAACCCCTTCCACTTTTCCCTCTGAGCTACTGCACTCCACCGCTCTGACTGTGTTCCTGGAAAAAGTGGAGGAGTGATTCTCTCTGTGCTTAAAGATGAAAAATAAAGATATTACAAGGAGTAAAATAAATAAAACTACAAACAGCTCTTCACTGTCTGATCTGGCTCCAAAGATTCAGATCTTTAGCTAATGTCACATCTCTACTCTATAATTTGTAGAAACAGGATTGATAAGTTGTAGGTCAATCCAAAACTAGCCAAGTGCTCTATGCTAGTCTTTGCAAATGCTAATAAAAATTGACATTATGTAATTCTTTATTTGTTTGCTTTTGCAAATCTACATAGCAGCAGCAAACTGTAGCACTACTGGTTCAGTTTGGGTCTCTTGATYGAATTTCACAATATTTCTTTCAAAATAACAGTATAATGCTAAACTGATAGCAGTGATAAAGTGAAATAATGTTTGAAACTATGGAATTTAARATATGAGAAAACCTAAATTTAGTTTTAAAAATAGAGCAGCTTCAATACACAGCAATGAAACTGATTCTTTAAAATCAAAATAAACAGCTTTTACTTTTGTTTTTTTCTTAGGAAACGGTACACTGATTGGAGCATCAGCTAATGTTGTGTGTGCAGGGATTGCTGAACAACATGGATACGGCTTTTCCTTTATGGAGTTCTTCAAGTAAGTCTCTTTTTTAACAGTCTAGCATATAACAATTTAAACAGCTCAGTTGTAGTTAACAGGTTTATTTATACATTGCCTGAAAAGCTACATTATTAGGTTTCTGTTGTTAAAGTTTGGGAATGAATTTACTTGAATTACGTATTTTACCAGAAAGTTTTCTTATCAATTACTATCTGACGTTATCATCACCTGGTACTAATCACAGTAATCACAAAGTGGTGAATATTAGTTGTGTTTCTGACAATTATTCATACACAATACGATTTTGCACAAGCCTTCTTTTTATGCTTAAGTATACTTTAGCATAAAAAGACATACAAAATATAACACAAACAGCCTCAGTTCAATATAAAGAGTGTAGTTTTCTCTATTTTTGTCACATGTAGATGCATCAATGACCAAAAAACGTGTGAGGCAAACAGACGGAGGAGGAGCATAAAATAAATGTGACTAGTCAAAGTGTCACTTCTATTTTTAATGAGGAAAAAGTATTTTTACAAGTCAACGTGCAAGTGTTCATTCAACTAAATTCAAAGGAAGTGAAACCCTCATCTTGTCAGGGGTTGCAGTTAAAATGAAAAAAAAAAAAAAAGTTAGATCTCAGTCGTGATGTAAAGTGGGCTGCCTCCCCAGTTTCCGCCTACTTATATCTAATCTTCATTCTGCTGATGTAACAGCAAGACATAGTTTCAAATTACTTGTAAGGGAATGGAGGTGGTCCTAAAAGATGAAAGGACAATTAACATGAGTTTGATTAGATCTGAAATGCAATAATTTGGAGATGGAGTAACGTTTGGATTTTAGGACTTTTTAATAGTACCTTAAATGTTACTAAGAAACAATCTGAAAAGTGTATTTGCTTCATATTTTCTAAAAGCAGAACCACGTGTGTACAGTTTTTTGTTTCCAGCTCAGTTTGCTCTGAATTAGGAGTTAAAACCAGTATCATGAATGATGGAAAATTAGGTTTTCCTGATGTTTTTCTTTCCTTAACTGAAAAGACAGAACGGCCATCTGCAGAGGATCCCATAGAAAGTGATGGAAATGAAACAGTTGTGGCCTGTCAGCTCCTCTTCTCTCCACTGTAGCTCTGTTTACTGTGACTAGAGAAAAAAGCACTGCTCGTGGCTGAGGCGCTGCCTGTAATTGGCTGTCTGTAGCAAGGGTCAGAGCTGTTCAGAGAGACAGGTAAGAGGAGAGAAGTCTGTCTGTGACTCCAGACAGCTGGGACTAACTAGTGCTGTATCAGGTGGTTGAATGGAGGGGCCAGATGAGCCCACAGGGATATGAATGCTTCTTTGATGGGCAATCAGAAAGGAAAATGAGTGGCTCTGAATAGCTCTGCAGTTAGTCGGTRTGGTCTCTGTTGCTTTCTTTATGCCTCTGGGCCTTCATCATCCTCATCTCCTCGAACCATTAACCCAGGAAGGATGGTAAAAGTGTCTACTCTATTTGTGCTTTAAAGTCCAGCTGGGCAGAGTGTGTACCAATGTTTCCACTGAGTGTGTTGTGTAAAAATAAAAAACTATGACTACTGTGTGATATCATGAAAATATTAGTCCCTCTTCTGTTTTTTTTTTTTTTTTTTTCCTCTTTGGGATATTTCATTTTTTGTATTCATATTCATACAATTAGACTGGCTAAAGTTTACACTTGTGTTGTATTTTTAACTGTGTCAGATGAAGAAAAAGTGCAGTTTAAGTAACGGCAAAACAAATGGCAATAAGTTGACCAAATTTTTTTCTGAAAAGACTGATTTATTCTAAATAATGAAGCATTTTTCTGCCTGATTTTGAACATCTTCCCTAAATTGGTAAYTGTGATCACAGTTGTGTGGTACCATCTAATTTTGATGGGTCTTAAAAGAACAATAAGATCTGAACTGTTCTGAGCAGCATGTAACTAATACAATAATAATAAAAAAAGAGTACAATGGTGGCGTTAGTAAAAGTTTTACAAGGAGTCATCCTCCAATGGGAGAGTTGGGGGTTTGATTCCCCACTATTCAGTCACAAGTCAAAGTGTCCCTGGGCAGGACACTAAACCCTTCATTGCCTCAGATGCATCACATCAGTGTATGAATGTGATCTGAAGCACTGATTAGTCTCTTTGATTTATTTAGTAGAGGTCTCTCAATGATTAGAAAATGATTAGAAGATTTTCCCACATGTTATCTCTGAACATTACTGTTTATGTGATAAAAACACTTGTTTTGTCACATCTGGACTATTGCTCTGAAATTTGGTCACCTGCTGCTACAGCTCATATTAAGTCTTTACAGGTGGTCCAAAACAGAGCAGCTAGATGTGCATTTCGATGTTCTTTTAGAACTAATGTAAACTGGATGCATAATATATTGTCATGGCTTACAGTGGAAAACAGATTTACAGCCTCAATGATGAAATTGACTAGAAACATTGTTACAACAAAATCTCCAAATGTTCTTTATAATGAGTTATTTTTAGTTCTGATGAACATGATTATGAAACCAGACATGCTATAGAGGGCAGATTTACACTTCCAAGTGTAAAGACAAATAAAGGAAGGAGTGCTGTAATGTATAGAGCAATGGCTGGCTGGAATGATTTGCCAAGTGACATTATAAATGCAACCAGTAAAATACCAGTTTAAAGTCTGTCTGAAAAGGTATCTACTTAAAAACTAACTTTGGGTTAGGTGACGTCTGTGATATGATGGCTAATGCCTGTTGATATGGTGTTTTGTCTTAGAGGATTCGTTTAATTTATCTTGTAATAATCATATTGACATAATCATATTAAGCTATAGGTTTCTAGGTGTATTAAAAATGAGAGAGGAAGGTGGTGTGCATGAGCTGCTGAGCTGCTGAGTTCTCAACGAGCTTACTCAACTAAGGGATAATGTACTGGTAAGCTTGGTTCTCAGGTAAATATACTATATAATTTAATACGTTTAAGGCATTTATAATCTATAACATCATAACTGTTATTAATTGGCTTTTCGTTATAACAAACTGGACGGAGAAACTGTGGAGACTCTGGAGTTTTTCATCGACTATTTTGAAAAATAGTAATGGGCAAACCGAAGCTTACCTCCGGCAGCGCAACTAGCATGTCAGTTAGCACACAAACATTAAAGAGGAATCGCTCGGCAAGCTCCGACGATTTTTCAAATATTTCTCCAGAAACTATAGGCTTTAAGGACATACTGGAGT